CAGAGGAAAGGACAGAGCTACAGTTCTGCAGACCAGCAACATCCCCTTGGCTGTCCTCTAACACAGTAATCATGACATTAGATCAATTGTTTTCTAAATAGCCATATACTCTGGGAAACCTTGTCTTTCTTCCTGTGGCCTATGACTTTGTACAATTCAAAACAGATCTAATCCAGGAGAGCTATAGAGTTGATTGAATCACACGCAACTGCCAGCATCAGACCTTTAAACAATAATTTCATGTGATTCAACTTATCATGTGTATGAAACAAAATACAAGTGTGCCTTTCAAAATATGCTACATTTTTAGTAAATATTTTTCCCCCAAGCTTGCCAAATAAGTAGATGACACCATTAAAAAACACTTATGATCATCAGGCATTTGCATTTTATGTTCTCTGTAATGGCTATGTTTTCTTGGAGTACTTATGTTCATTAGGTAAATTAATAAGGAGGTATGAAACATCAGTACTGCTTCTTTCAATTTTCCTGCTTGACAAATTAGGCTTCCAATCCCCATTGTACTTCCGTCATTCATAGTATATACTGTTCGCTAAATTGAAGTCACATTCTGTTTATACCCTCATTACCTCAGACATTGCTGGTAGGGGCAGGTGACAATGCTGGTGGGGAGCAGGTACACAGGCACACATGCACGCACACTCGCACACGTTTCATTGGGGGCAATGTTTAAGCTCCCAAGGAATCCCACCCCCTGTTGACTGGCAGTGGGGTCCTGAATACACACCTGTGCTCGTGCGGTAGGTGCCGGTGTGTGCTGGCGGCAGAGGGTCCCCCTGGCTCTGGCTGAGACTCCTCATAGGGGGCTTCTGATAGACGCGGTCTTCGTAGATGGGGTCTATGTGGTGTTCTGGGGATTGCAGGGCCCGCAGCTCAGGGCCCAGGTGCCCATGCTGGCTGCTGTATGAGGCTCGGGACCCAGCTGAAATAAATTAACAGGGGCACATTAAAGCTCAGCCAATATTCACACCGAGTTCTACCCAAGAATATTTGAATTTGGAGACAGACAGAATGATTGCAATCTTCAGAAAACCAAACGAATACCATAAAATGGCAGCAACCCCTCAAGCTGATCAGCTGATCGCGCCATTCAGCGGCCTTGATTTGCTCCCAGAGCTGATCACTCTGAGGACGATAATGTTTCTGAGATAAGTCCACACTGAACAAAAATGGGGAAACATCAGTTTTCTCACAGCCTGATGAATGTAACTGGATTCTTCACCAAAGGAATCAGGCAGGCAGTGGATTCTAAAAACCTCTTATTACCCACAGTCCTCATACCCTAATTATACAACAGAAATATCGTAAGTGAAGAGGAAATGAAAGGCAAAACCACAAAGGCAAAACCACCTTGATGAGTTATATTTTCTTTTATTCTTGATTCTCCAAACTGATGTATTTACGTTTAGCCAGAAAAAAAAAAACCCTCATATATATGATTGTCATTGACTGATTTATTTATAAATTGAGGCCACAAATCATTTGTCTCTTTATCATTTGTGAGCCCTTATTTATGACACTTGATTGCATGTTATGGGGAAAATGCTGCTTTGAGGCAATATTGTAGACCAGGGAACCTGGCAGATGTTTCTTAGGGAAGGAAGCCTCTGCACACCCTGAGCTGAGCCAACAGATGCCGAGAGCCAATATTAGAGGAGAAATGTCAGGGGAACTGGGGCCTGAGATGGACTTGGGGAGCCTAGAGAGACATGGTCTATCCACGACAACAAGAGAACAAAGGAGACCACAGCTGGCTTGAGAAGGACCCTTCAGTGAAATCCCCCCAATGGGTACCCACTTGGCACATTGGAATTCAACTGCCAGCTGTCCCTTCTATAGGCCAAATTTAGAGCTCTCCACTGCAGTCTAAAGTACATGTGGGTTGGAACTCCTTGACTTTGACAGAGTCCCTGGATAGTTCTATGTCCCTTCTACTTGTCCAGGCCATTCCCAGAGGACACCAACAAGCCAAAATCTTCAAATGCTCACAGATAAGGTCGCTTCTTTAGGAACACATGACCAAAGAATTTGAATATTCTCATCTAGTGTATTTGAAGAAAAAAGCCATTCAAAAGTTTCGAAATTGCTGACAGATAAATGTTTTACTGATATATTTAGCACATGCTGCTCTGAATTTAAATAAACAGAAAACAACATTTCCGGATGAGGGGGCAATGTGGAGAATGCTTTGAATGCAGTATTAATAAAAAGCACTGCTTGCTTTGAGGAAAGGAAAGAAGTAGGGCAGGCAAGATCCTTACCTTTCCCTTTGCAGTAATTAAATAATGTCTGATTTAGATAGTGTTGAGATGAATGATGGATTGGAAATAATTGTTTTGCATAATTAGGTTCATTGCATCTGATTTGTCAAATGCCAACACTGCACTGAATATTATCTCCAGCTCAGATTTTCCAGGAATATATTTAAGTACAACACACCTTGAGTTTCAGCTGACAATGCTTAACTCCCAAAGACTCAGATAGCATCGATAAGGATTCAAAAGTGTAGAAACAAGGAAGTGATAATTATATCCAAATGTATAGTTAAAAAGAAGTTAGCCATCATTGGTAGAGTGCTAACTTTTATCACCACTCCCTCCTTCTCAGTTTCAAAAAACACCTCATATTGAACCACCAGAGGAACTGCTTGAACCTTTAAGGGGTGACATGATCATAGGGCATATGTGAGGATCCTCTTGGCATAAGGAACTTCTTATTAGTACCATCCATCAATCACGGGGTCCTAAGCAAGAGGTAGAGTCTACCTCTGTGGATATAATTTCAATGTGCTGATCTTGATGATCATAAAATTACTGAGGATTTGAATAGTGTGCCATATATTTTTCTCCTATTATCATGCTGCTGGTGAAACTATAAGCTCATAGTGTTTTCCTGCAAAAATACTTGAGTAAAATGCAGTTGGACATTTAAGCATCAATGCAGAACATGGAAGGAGATAAGGCATTTTAAAAGGAGTACTGTTTATACTGTTGATCCATTGTGGTCAGATTTCAATATCTGTGGATGGGCATTGAAAAGAATTAGGGGAAAGAAGAGAGGCAAGGAATCAAAGTTTAAAAGTGCCTCTGCTGGAACTCATGTGTTCTACTACCCTTGTTTAAGAAGAATGTATCATGGGATCCATACTCACAAGATCTATTTGACTTTGGGCAATTTTGAGAGAAAGAATATCACATAACAACTTTCGGGAATATGCACCAAAATTTCACAAAGATGTATCTGCTAATTCAAAGAAAATGTACTTTTTTTTTTTTAGTGGGAATTTTCCATCAGCATTATGGTCTATTTAACAGTGAGTGTAAAGTACCATATACTATGCTATCATAAGAAGAAAATTGCTGAAGAAATTCTGATTTGGTCCAAAATGTCATAGACATCAAGGCCAAATTTCTCATCTATTATGTTAGTAGAGAACAATTCTGGGAACTTGACCTTGACCACGTTGAAGACTCAGAACTGCAGAATAGAAAAATATAATCAAAACATGGATAAGCAAAAGAGAAAACCAGACCAATGGTACTGACAGCCTCCCCTGACCTTGAAGATATACATCCTGCAATAATAATATCTGTGTCCATGTAACATTTCATGACCAATTTCTGCAACAGTTCTA